ATGCCGAACTTCCCAGCCTGGTGAGAAATGGTGGAAAGGGAAGACGGTGGAGAGCAGTGAGAGGGCTGTGGGACAAGTCCTACTGGGCAGCATGCTTAAAGCCAAGGAGGTGCTGGAGGAAACCAGAGTCATTTCTCCATGCCCAACTGTAGGAAGCTGATGCTGTTGCCCTGACTCAAAACCCCTTTGGCTGTCACAGGAGGGATCAAGGCAGCTCGTGGCTTGGTGGCAGCAGAGGTTACTGGGACCCACCAACTCCTGCAGACACGGCAGATCTTCCCTCTTACTGCAGAACCCCGGCAGCTGCCACCATGGACCTACATCCCAGTGAACAGGAAACACGGTCCTGATGTGCTGAGTCCCTCTCTGCTCAAATGAGTCTGGTACCTCCGAGTACCAGAAACTTTTGGGTTCCTGTCTCTCTCATAGTTACTCTCTCCTGTTCCACACCTCCCAGACCTGTTCTCACTACCCAGACATGGTGAACCCTGTCCTACACTGCATGTTTCACCCCCTGCAAGTGAAAAGGCCACTGCTGAGCACAACATACCAGCTGTGGACATCTCCCGGGGCAGCAAGTCCTCTCAGCACAAACTCCTTGCACAGCTGAGCATTGACTTTGTCAGTGATGCAGCACAGAGCAGCGTCAGCCATGCCCATGCCCTTGCCTTTGCTCCCCAAGGGTGCAATTGATGAAGAAGGGATCAATTGTCCAGGTTCAGAAAAGTTCAGGTTGATGTTTGTCAGAGTGCTCCCACCATGAGACTCTTAGAGATGCCCACAGGCCCTCTGCCCCGACAAGCTCACCTTGCCTACAGGGCCCAGCACTTCACAACACACGTCAGATCCTCCATGAGGGAAGCCTCCCTGCTCAGGATGTTTCCAAGAAGCTTCTTTTCAACTGGGAGAGATCATTTTTTCCTGCTCTGCTTGGAAAACTCTGTAAAGAGTTAAGAGCTTACCAGGGTGGAGAGAAGCAGCAACAGCTGGAAGCCATAGGGCTGGCTACAGGACAGTGCAGCAGGGAGCGGTGCAAGGAGTCAGCCCTGGTGACAAGGGAGCCAAGACTATGCATGCAGGGTCTGCAGAGGAGATGGTACCTGGCCGTGCACAGAAATATCAAAACGGATGCCATAGAGCTTCAGTAGGTTCCGGTAGAGCTGCTGCTGGGAGTCCCAGTAATAGGAGGCAGTTCTGCAGGAGACATTGGACACGACTCAGAAAGCAATGGCAGTTCTGGGCAGGTAGTGAGAGAAGGCAGCTGCCAGTGCTGTATGACTGCTGGGGCTACCATGTGTCTGTGCACACCTCGTGTCCTACAGCAGCATTTCCCAGCCTGCTGTAACTCACTAGCAGCAGCAGAGCATCAGCATCCACTCAGCACCCAGCCCAGGCTCACTGGGAACATGTAGCTCCCAGTGCATCCAGTTCAGGGTCGGCATGGGTGTGGAGAGCCACGCATCCCTGCCCTCAGACAGGTAATGCCTTGCACAGCCCCAGAGCAGAGCTACAAGGTGTGGGAACTACCACGGCATCCTGATGATAATAGACCCTGCGCTGAGCTACCACATCCCATTGTCCCTGCTGCTCCTTTCAGAGCATCAATCAGGAAAACTGAGATCTCGAACAACTGTGGTGTGCTCAACCCGCAGGCCCATGTGGCCACTGTCCCAGCATCCTTACCTAAAATTGTACCTCCTGTCCTGCAGGCTGAAGGAGTACTGCGGCTGGCACTGGGCAGCGGGGTGATCCAGGTCACAGTCCCACTCGATGCGAACTCCAATACTCCCCCCCTGCAACACACGTTATTCCAGGAGAAGCATGGGATCAGAGATCTGCTAAGCTCTTTACTGTGCAGACATGTACAGATCACCTCTTAGCACCTCAGGGGCCAGTTCTGTCCCCCACCCCTTGCCCGCATCTTTGCGGAATTTGGAGTCCTCTTCTGTACTTAAAAAAAAACCAAAACACAAGTACCAGCAGTGCAAGGTCTCCAAAGGTCTCTCCAGCTGCCTCCACCATGTCACGGACACGGAAGACGGGGCAGGAGGGGTGGAAGAATGGATCATACATGCAGCTCTTGAAATAGGTGGGGTCATTGGTTTGCAAAGTATTGCACCTGAGACAGGAGAGAGGGGGGAGCTGTCAGGGTGGAGTGGCAGGTCAGGAAGCCCTGCTGCATGACTGAAATGGAGACCCTCCCACTGGAGTAGGACCACTAATGCTGCTGCTTCAGTGAAGAAAGTCATTGCCTCTCCTAAAGTTAGAGAAAGGGTGGAGGGAAACTGGCCCAGAGGAATCACATACGGAGTTATCGTCCATTGCAGCACCTGCCATGGTCCTTCCCATCCCAGCTCCTCTCCTCCACCTCTGCTTCTTTCTTCTCCGTTTCCACGCACCTAGCTCCCACTGTGAGATGTGATGACCCTGCCTGAGTTAGGTCTCCTAAGGGAGACAGCCTGGACAGTCCAGCTGCCCCAAGCCATGTCTCCTGCCAGAGTAAGGCAGCACAGTCCACATGCCTGGGGTTGTGAGGCAAATGAAGCCTTTTACTGGGTCTTTGCGAAACCACTCTGCAGGGACTAAGTTACAAAAATATATAGCGTAAAGTGAGACCTTGGGAATGACTGGCCTTGTCCTGCTGTCTGTAGTGCTCTAGACAGGCAGATGGACACCAGGCCCTGTCTCTGAGGGCTCCCCATCCCATTGCTCTTCCATCTGCACACACAGGTGCCACTGAAGCGACTGGCATTCTGAACACACCATCCTGAACCGTAACTTCCCAAGCCACCACCTGTTCTGGGTGGCACATGGCTTCTTAGATGCCTTGGCTGCTCAGCCCCACAACAGATGAGCTCAGTACAAAGGCTGGGCTAGGCTGCACACACACTCTGGCTGGAGAGTGTCACACTTACTTGGAGAAGTTAAATTTGGTGAAGTGGACAGTATTTTTTATAAAAAGAGTGAAATTCTCCGCCTCTGCCAGAAGAGGTTTCCTGGAAAACAAGCATCAATGAACTCAAATTTTGCACAGTGGCTAAGGAACGACCCCATTCCCCTCACTCCGTGGTCTCTTCCATGATCCCAGGACTTTGGCTAAAATGGACAGTTGCAAGAAACGTTCTTGTGTGAAGTTCTATAGGCTTAACTGACCGGTAGATCAATGCAAAGATCTCCCTGAGCCAGATTGCTACTCAAGCAGATATGATCAGGCCCCTGGTTACACAGAGCGAAGGAACCAAAGCTTTCAACACCTGCTGTCCCCTCACCCTGTGTCTCACCTAGGCAGGGTGTTGTTCTCCACAGGACACCAGCCATAGATCTCACAGGTGGAATGGGTGGTGTTGAACATCACACACTTCCCAGTTTTTATCCCTGAAAATGAGACAATGTATAATTCCTTTTCAAAATGTCAGCTCCCCTCCAGGGACAGTGCCCTGTCCACAGGCTTGTTCTGGCCTTCTCAAAAGCTGAACTACAAAGATAACCCTGAAATCATCTTCAGTGTTTTCCCCAGCCAACAACTTCCCTGTAAAACCTTCCCTTGAGGTCGAGTGACAGGAGCAGTTTCACAAAGATGAGAAGCTGCTTGCTGCTCCCAGTGACTCTCTGACCAGCACAGCCTTTCCTGCCCCATGGCTGCTGAAGCCACCCGCTACTTGGGTGAGAACACAACAAGCTGGGGCAATCCCACACACAAAGATTTGGCAACTGACCTCCTAGAGCCAAAATAATCTTTTCCAGCTGAACATTAATCAGCATAAATAAAAGCCAGTTTTATTACAGAAGGCAAACCTGCCAATTACATGGCACACTGGCTTCCATTCCAGCAGCCAACATCAGAACCAAAGCACCCCTGTATCTGCAGCATCTGCTCGTCCAGCTGTGACAGGTCACTGCAAGGTTTTGCCAAGAATAAACGGCTGGAGAACACTTCATGCATACTTACTAAAAGCACCTAACTTGGACCGACCATCAGTCACCTTTGTGAATCTGTTTGCTGCCACACATGAAGAATCAAATGATTTTTTTTTAATTTTTTTTTTTTTTAGCAAAACACCCAGTACCATTGCCATGAACCACTGGGTTTCCCATGGGACAGTCTGCATCTTCTGAGCACATTGCATCGAGAACAGCAGGGCTCTGAGAGAGAGAGAGAGAGAGAGAAAAGCTGTCACTGTGGTGCACAGCCACCCTGAGCCCACGCCATCACTCACCCATGTTTCTGTGCTGCTGCTCCTGCTCCTCCAAGCACGTCCCAAAAGCTTACAGAAGACATCCAGCCAGCCTCCAGCCAGCGAGGAGAAAGGCAGCTCCAAGGGGTTATCCTTCCCACCTGTCTCCATGCACTCTGGGGCACTCGCCTCCTTGGCAGGGGAGGCCTCGAGCTAGCTCGGAGCTTTCAGCTGGGACTGGGAACAAGCACAGCGCGGTTCAAGAGAGCCCTAATGGAAAAGCCCATTGAGCACCTTGTGAAGCACCACCACAATGCCCTGGGGAAGAGCTGAGAAGACCCTAAATACAGTATAATGCAAGTTCGACAAGAGACACGGAAAGCTTCACCCTCACTCTGGACCCACCAGATTCCCAGGAGCAGCAAAAAGCTCCTGTCAAACACAGAGAGACAATGGCAAGTGGGGGAATGCGTGTAACACCTTCCCCCAGCTACTCCCACGCCATTGCAGGAGTCGCCAGACTGTCAGACACCCACCCCCCCAAGCCTAGAGGGGCACAGAGGCCCAAAGGCAGGCAGCAAGACCCCAGTTACAGAGTCAGAAGAAGAGGGGGGCAGGTCTGTCCAGGCCCTCCCAGAGCTGTCCCAGGACAACCTCAGACCCTTGTTCCAGAGGCAAAAAGCACCATAACGTGTCAAGAGGAGCAGTTCTCTGAAGCATCTTTGGGCTGGGGGTATTTTCCATACCTTGGGGTATGGAATTCACTGTGGAATGCCAGAGAAAAGTATTTTGGAATTGCACAGGTCATTTAAGGGGTGAGATGTTAAGGAGGAATAAAAGGCATGGAAAAGGAGAGACCTAGGTGATCTGAGAAGGAACAGACGTAGGAAAAGAGAAGGACAGAAGGATGCAAAGGACTGGTTGCATATACAGAGCAGGCTGTTCTGCATGCTGGCCCATCCATGCCCTTCACCCCATCAGCACAGCCTGTCTTTGGCCTGAACTCCATTTCCAACTATTTTTCTGGACGAGGGGCTCTATTCTGTACGCATGCTGTGGGTGTGAGAGTCTGAGTGCCAACATCTAGAGCAGGACCACTGCTCCTCGCAGGAGGTGGTGGTGTGCCAGCTGCTGCGAGTGCAGGCATGCACCGAACACAGGACTCATGGCAAATGGCAGGCCAGATGAGCCAGGGAGGAGGTGGCCTGGGCGCAAGGCAGGGTACCTGAGGGCAAGCCCACAGGACTACTGGGGGGTCCAGGCCATTGTGCTGGGTTTAGTCAGGACAGAGTTAACTCTCTTTACCATGGCTGCTATGAAGCTGTTCCTGGATGCAGAGAGAAGCACTGGCGCTGGG